CAAAACGTCTCAAGAGTTTTACGCGTTGAAACGCGCAGGAATCAAAAACATCGACGCGCGCCGAAACGTCAGCCATCGATCAATAACATCAAAAACAACGACAACGACAACGAAGATCTGTACCAACTTCGCGTCAGCTTAAGAAGATCAGTTTATAAGATCACATAAATAAATATATCAGCTATCTATGCCGAGGTTTATAGAAAGTCGGTCTTTCAAGTTAACACATTCTTTTCTAACCTTTGTGTTGCTCACAATGAGCTCCCAAATGTCGGCCACAAATAATCCATAACAGTCCATTTGTTTTATGCCTCGATTGTCCGTCTACACGGGGCTGGCTGCCATAGAGGAACAAGTGATTGTGAGGTAATACTTTGTTGAATCATCCATCACTGATAATCATCAACATTTTCTCCAGATATGAGGTTGTTACTACAATATTTATTCCCGATAGCCGACGTTTTCGCGAACTTCCCGCTCTTCAGAACCTAGAAAGGTGAAGTCTTTCGGGGTCAGGGCGATGAGGCCCATTTCTCTTAGTGTTTTTAGTTTTTTGATACCTACGTATAGCTTGCTGGACTCTGAACGTGGAGGCTGGGTATACTCACGGGTACCTTGCCAGACCCTCCCGGAGTGGACAAGGAGCTTATTTGTTGGAGGTGACTCCTAACCTCCTCCCATATATTTCCCTGTCAATGATTGCAGGCTTTTGGCCGAATTGACTCGTAGAATACAATCCGCATAAACAAGAACGCACCCACACTCGCATGCATGAATACGCCTAGCAAATACAGAAAGTATGTGCCAAATCGGCTCAGCAGAAACAGGGAGTCCATCTCCTGGACCCATCTGCGTCTCAGGGAAGCAAAGGTTGCTTTTGGTACGCGATTAACCCCTTATCCGCCACCTATCCACCTTTTATACGGACGCAGAGTGGTCTACTCGTTTCGCCAACGTATTCGTTAGATTAGTTCCCAGGAACGGCTTTCTATTAACCTCGGCATTGGAATATGAATGTGTCGTTTTCTTGTTCAGCAATCGCGAGGTTTTTAAACGGCATACATTTACTTCCATAGAGAAACACAATACAATACAACGCTAGCTGAAGTTTCGGCAGTATCGTCTTCTTCAGAGCCTGGAAGGGTATACTGATATACAATCTACTAGGCCAAACGCTTCAATAACACTTACAAAAAGACGAAAAACTCTCTGATAATTACATGATCAACAGCTTCTCGAAAAACCCATCGCTTTTTCGTAACTTCCAATGAGGAAGATTAGAACAGCTGATTATAGTCGCATGTGGTTGATGATTGGCAATCATGGACGTTTTTTCTCGTAGTTGGAATAATACGTCTACGACATATTCGTAAATAATCATCATTCATCTCGTCACTTATTAGGTGCATGTACACTTCTACTCTTTCTAGAAAATGTCTTTCTCTGAGAATTGTTGCAAATAATGTTTAACTTTGTATTAACTGCCTATTATTTTTTACGGCGGGTATTATGTGAGATGCAAGCACAACGAGGCTGAGATGTTTGCAAAACTTAGACCCCAGGCCAAATCGAACCGGCGATTACACTTTTCGGGAAATCATGTGTTACCCACTACACCACTGAATTCTTTTCTTTGACTTTTTCTCAGCCAGTTTTCTGGCCTTATAATGATGCTAAGATATTTGCAAAACTTGGACTTTGACCAGATACTAGATTTGATGGCACCGTTGGGGTAAAAGCAGGCAGAGAGAAACGCCAAAGAAAGGGCCTCAATGGTGCAGTGGCTAACACGTAAGCGCAGGAAAAGGGTAATCGCGGGTTCTAAGGCAGCTTGGAATTCAACTTTTGCAAATATCTCATCGTCGTTGTGATTGTTATAAATAAGATCTGCTTCAGTTAACATCCAATTGCACTACTCTCAACATTTCACGCTAATGTTCTCTTTATAGATATGAGTGTTCTTTCCAAATTCAATTTGGTGTATTCATTCGGCTCAGCGCTTTCCTTTAGACAGTATGGACCAGGACTATGTGGGCTTGTAGCTTTTTTCACCGTTATCAGATGGTATGGAAAAATCGCGAAGTATGTTATCCATCCTTAGCATTTTGCGGCTAAGAGAAAGAAGCTTAGTGCATGTGTCATTTGAAACAGTTTCCAAAAATTTCAGCTTTTCAACGTGTTATAAATGAGAAAAATCGTCTGTCAGTTAAATTACTGATCAGAAAATCATTTATCGCTCATAACGTACTGCCAAAGTACAACCGGAAATATAACATTCAGAGCATCAAAATCAGGAATTTTCGTCACAAAGACTGGTCAACCGACGAGCGATAAGGCGCATGTAGACGGCGAGTTTCTAAGGAAACTGTGGCGAATCATTAAAATCCTTATACCTTCGCCGTTTTGTGTTGAGGTAGGTGATAGGGAAAAAAAGGGAAGTTGAACAGCTGAACATGAATTTAAATGGAAGCAGAGTTGGTTAAGAACATCAATAACACATTCGAAACATCTGGTTTGAATACGTTGAAATTTTTGAAAAGTCTGATTAAAGTAACAAGTGAAAGCAATATCCTTAACACAGAGCAAGAGTACCTTAACTAGTTAAGGCTAAATATTTTTGTTTTCAGGTGTTCTATCTGTTCCTGATAGCTATCTCGCTTCTATGCAGGACCTACGCAGACGTTTATATGATTGTAACGGCGACAAAAATTGAAGCGTGAATACCTGCTAATATGTTTTCAAATATATGTGCTTTTATGACATCCTGTTTGACTAGAAGTTACAGCGAATGATGAGCGAAAATAATGACTCTCGATAGCGAAGACTACATTCGACCTAGTTGAACTATTTCTTTAACAGAATCGACTTTCTATTAACCTTGGCATTGGAATATGAATGTGTCGTTTTCTTATTCAGCAATCGCGAGGTTTTTAAACAACATACATTTACTTCCATAAAAACACAATACAATACAACGCTAGCTGACGTTGCGGCAGTGTCGCCTTCTTCAGAGGCTGGAAGGGTATACTCTGAAGGGCTCTGAACAAGGCGATACTGCCGAGACGTTAGCTACTGTTGTATTGTATTGCGTTTCTCTATGGAAGTAAATGTGTGCTGTATAACAACCTCGCGATTGCTGAACAAGAAACGACATATTCATATTTCTTTAACCGTATACATTACAGTTACAAACAACTGTCATCGGGAAATTAAAAGGAGGTACCATTTGATTGGCACTTTTTTATAGTTTTGTTGGTTTCTATGGTATTACGCTTGGGTTAAAACGTTTAGCGGTAACGCACACATCCGGGGCGAAATGACTTCTATACGAGTCATACAATACGAGAGGAATTGCCGCCTTCAACTTTAAGTCAACGTATCTCGACTCATAGAGGATTTTTTCTTGTTGGAATGGAAAGTACCAAGTTCTATAAATCTCCATTTACAAAATTTTTGATTGTTTTATCGCGATGATACTCGGATTTTCTGGAGAGCATGATGCAGATTTCTTTCTTTCTTTTCACCTCAACGCTGCATTTCGAAAACAAAGGCAGTAGAAAAAGCGGTATTTCGTTCATCTGGATAGGGTGGTGTTCCTTAGTATATCATCTGTGAGTGCAGTTACTGATCTTCCTTTGGAATTTCTAGAAACTTAAATTTCGCTTCAAATTTTGTGAAAATTGAAGTTTTAAATGTTTTAAATCTAGAAGCACTGTAAAATTCACATATGCTACAGAGCAAAGCTTCTTTTGTAAATGTATAAAGTTGGTTAGGGCGCTTGTGGGGCAGTTGTTGGAAGCGCCACACACACACGTGGAGTCGATCTCCGCGCCCATGGTTCATATGTTCAACAACTCTTGTTGTCTTATTAAGAGCAGTTCGTATGGAAATCAAAACTTGTTGATCAATGCAAAAGTTGACTGGGATTCGATATTTGCAATTATGTTTTCATTTATAGTGGTGCTGAGGTATTGGCAAAACTCCGGATCCCAAAGGTATGCGGTGGGGATCGAACATGCTATTACCCTTTTGGAGGCAAACGCACTTGCCACAAACGCACCACACTATGTGGACCATTTGTTTGGCCTTTGGGTTCAGCGCTGATTTGTGCTCACCCGCTCAATCCTGTTGGCGGGTGATTGCTAATGGTATTAGCAGATAGAGAACTAGCTGAGAGAAAGGCGAAACAAAGGAACCGCATGGTGTGATGGTGAACGCGTTAGGCCTGGGAAAGGGTAAATGCGTATTCGATCCCCACCGCATACATCTGTAGTCCGGAGTTTTGCAAATATCTCAGCACCATTGTGGTTGTTTTTCACATAATACCCTGCCGTGAAAAATTTTAGTAAGTAGTAAATAAAAAATCTATGTTTTCATAGTTCTTTTACATGCACTTTGCTAACTGGTTTTTTACAGTTCAATTATTTCACGTGATCAACTACTATTTCTGATGAATGTCGTACAGTACGCTTTAACAATGCCTGCGATTTCGATGACTAACGCCATTCTTAAGGTAAAGTCACCTCTACTATGATTATAGAAAGTTTCAAGGGAGCTGTGTTAGCCTATTATACATTTAACTTGATTCTACAGCTCTCTTCCAAATAAATGCACGTATTTTTTTAGCTGCATTCGTTACAATTTTACTTCGAAGTTAAAAATTTCCAACAATGAGAGACAGTATTTGTATGTAATATATATGGGTATAAAAAAGGATAAAGCTCTCGGAGTTGATCAATCTCTGGGGATGTGCCATGCATTCGACTTCACTAAGTATCGTCGGAGGTGATTGAATGCATATCTGGCCTTTACAATGACTCGTGGTGGCCTACCAATGTATCGAGCCAGTGCTGCTAACCTGCCAGACAAAGTCCGGTACCAATCTGCCGACTCCCGATCCATGGAAGAGCTGATGAGCCTAGGGTGCGGGATCGAACTGAAGTGTATTGCATGGCGCCTATAATCATTACGCTTACGCTTCACTACCCGGTCATTTTCGCATGGCTGGCCCATGGGACGGCTTGTCATTGGACAGCATTTGAGGAGCGGGCATTGAAATCGGGATGTGCGGTCGTGAAAGTGTCAAACGGCAGTTTGAAAATGGACGTGTTCGTAACATAAACACGATATCGTCAGCAGTTTATGTGGTTTCTTCGTTTCATCTGACTCAGACGAATGATTCATCTGACGAATGATTTCATAGAAAAATGGCAACTCTGGTCTATGGTCTGTAATGGGAAGAGTTTATTGTAAGCACTGTGATTCTATCCCAGGTAAGGTTTTTATAACAAGGAAGCGTCTGCGGAGCAAGTAGCTGTTGCGTTGCTAGCTATTCCAAACCATGTACAAATAAAGGAAAACCTCCAGAGATACAGAATACTTATTTGCTCTAGCATCCTACTTTAGATTATCTATTTTATGGAGAATGGCGAGTGTAACGCAGTGGTCAGAGACGCTCAGGAATACACATGGGATCGATCCCAGCGCCCCAGACTCACTAAGCCATCCCTCCGGTGTCGGCAAATTGGTACCAGACTTGTCTGAGAGGATAGCAGCACTATCTGGATGCATCGGTAGGCCACCGCTAGTCATTGTAAAGGCCAGATATGCATTCAGCCATTTCCATCGACGCTTAATGGACTCGAAAGAATGCATGGCGTATCTCTCAGAGTCTGATCAACGCCGAGAGCTTTATCCTTCATCTTTTTTATTTTATGGGTAGTATTATTTACAGTGTGTATCTATCTATGTATACTGTGTGTGCTGTGTTTGTATCCATGTTTGTGTGAACATCATTATTGCAGTTCGGTCTGAACGAGTTGAAGCTGAGGTTTCGCGAACGCCTCACAAAATTTATGTACCAACGTTACCTGGCGTGAGACTGTGTTCTATTCCATTGTTATCGGCATTTTCAAAGTCTAAGAATTTTTTCAAAGGGGTTTCACTTTCTACAAGATGTCAAATCTCGACAATCGAGTCCAGAACGCTGATCAGCTTCTTACACAGGACGTCAATAAGTTTTGTGAAGGATTCGTTGAGCTCTATTCAAACGTTACAAAGGTTTGTATCACATTTGAATGCTTTCCAGCTGATTTCTCCAATTTGTTCGTGCATCTATCCTCTTTGAATGAAATCTTAACGAAGAGCCACGTATATCGATATCGAACACCTATTTAAAGATGTATCTCACTATGGGACAATTAAACAGTTTGATCAGTTCGAAAATTCGTCCTACAAAGCCCAGTTGTTTTACTTTATGACGATTTTTGCGTGCGAGAGAGCTCACAAATCATTTAACGCGATAGTTTATTTGCTAATAATTGGAATTCATGACTGGCTCACAGATTCTAATAATCTATTAATTTTTATAGCCTATCGTTGATGTGCTACTCTATGTCTCTCGTCTGAGTGGCGCTCTTGGGTGGAGTGCTCCAGCTACTCTATTTGGCTATCTGCTAGGAGCCGGGATATTCCTGACTTCCATCAGAAGACCAGTGAGAGCTCCTCTTAATGACACTGCTATTCGAAAATTTTTACTCCATTCTACTCTTAAGGAACATGAATATTACTAATGAGCCAGAGTATCACATTAGTAATCAGTTTATAAAGTGTTGACGATATTAAGAATGATAAAGTCTAAATCCTCCTGACGGTTTATCTCCTCATCGTGGCTGGGAGATGTTCCTGGGTGTCAGGTTGCGATGTACAGCGGGGGGAATTCATCCCCCTGGCAGGGTCGCCCAAGCTGAGAAGGAGTACCGCGTTGCCATCAGGAAGCCTAGCTAAGAATAAACCAATACCAGGATCCACCACCGTCATGGTATCAAAGTTCATTGTGGCAAGTTTCCGTCTGATCCGCAAGGACTGTGACTGCCTGTAGTAGTGACGACCTAGGGCAGACTTTGGCCAGACTGACCTCGGGATTCCAGGGAACCACAATGGCTTAACCAGCAAATCTCCGAAAAATGGAGATTAGGCTGGGGCTCGCGCAACCAGTGAGGATGGGTCATTCAAGTATCAAGTAGGTAAGTAAAGACTAAATAACTCTTTGTTGCGATCAACGAACAGAAAGCAGTGTACGCAAATAATTCATCACTATATTGCTGTTCGCAAAATAGAAGAGTGTAAAACATCATACCTGTTCTATGAAAATTTGTTAGGTTGCAAATCAGAAGCAGTTGTTCTCAGAAATAATCTATTCGTACAGATTGGACGCTTGACCGTTCAAGAACAAGCACTGGAAGGAGAATTTCGATACGTCAACTCTCGCCTGATAATGAACAGTGAAGAGATTGCCTTCTATCAGGTTAATTTATAGTGGAGTAAAACCATATTTGATTTTGGGTTTACTTATGTATCCTTCCGTTTTTTTTAATAATAGATTCACTTCTTGTATGCCTAAATGTTTGAACTTAATCACTTTTTATTTACTGCCTGTTCTTTTCATATGGCAGGATATGATGTGAAATACAATTATACCCTTTCCGGAGCTAACGTGTTCACCACCACACCATGCACGTCCTTCCTTTCGCGTTCCTCTCAACCGTGTTCCTCTTTCAATCCCGTTGACGGGTGATTGCTGAAAGTGTCTATAAAATACGGCTGGGAGAAAGATAAAACGGAAGACACGCATAGTGTGGTGGTGAAAACGTTAGCACCCGAAAGTGTATTAACGGGGTTCAATCCCCGCCGCAGACAGCTGCGACCCGGAATTTTGCAAATATTTCAGCATTATTTTAGATTTCTGAATTGCATATCTTAGAGAGCGTTGAGGAAACCCGCACAATTTCTCCTCCTTGCCCTTTCTCACAGATGTTTTTGAAGGTGGCGCTTTTCTCTATCGCACGTTTTGTGTTACACGAATCGCATTCAGATGTAAGTACAGCTGCAAGTACGGATGCTTCACGACTCTTGCAATTTCCCATCGCTTTATGTCGTAGCGGGAGATGAATGGGGACCTTTCGTTCCTGTGAACTTTTTGATAGGTTTCTTGAGCTGTCTCTTTCAGTTTTCTTTCCTCTACCGTTCAAAATTCTGCTGTTGAACCTTTTGTCGGTGTTTTAAGCAGCGGCGGAGAAGGAAGCGGCTGTAAGAGTGCTAAGTGCTAAGTAGTGGTCGTGTGGGACACGTGAGAGTCGAATCTACCGTCAATTTCTTTCTCTTTGTGTGCGACTTCTTGGTGATGGTGAAGGAGTGATATAGTATCTGTTGTAAAGATCTTGTAAATATTAGAGCAGTAGTAGTCTAAAGGGACTGTTGTGGGCGTTGTTTTGGTCCACTGCCAGTACCGTTCGCAGCCCTAAATTTGCTCGCCTTTCCTGAGTGGTTGCAAAGCTACATGGACATACTGTATGTCACAGCGCTTGGTATGCAAGATGCTGAGGCGGAAATTAAACTGATAACACGCACATCTGTTTTTCTAGTATATGTCAACAAATCTGTCTTATGTTGCTCCCAAATTGTTACCAGAGGTCGTCGCCGCGTCTTTTTGTTCGGAACATATTTTACCAGTTTGCGCTTACATTGCTTCTGAAACTACGGCGTTCGTGTAGTTTCTTAACTAGCTCGTTTTCTAGATATTAATTTCGAACTCCTTGTCTCGCTGTTAACAGATGGATTTCCTAGTGTGCATCGCTATGGGACACTCAGGAACACTCCGCTTACAAGAGGCTAAGGCGGTAAACTATTGAGGAAGTGGTTTGCCACAGTTTGATTGTGATGCGAAATATGCATGTATAGACAACGTTAGGGCGCATGTGATGTAGTGGTCAGGGGCGCTTAGCGACACACACGTGGAAGCGATTCCCGCGTCCATGGCTCACCAAGCCTTCCATCCTTCCGGGTTCGACAAATTGGTGCCAGACCTCTCTGGGAGGATAGCAGCACTGGCTCGATACATCGGTAGGCCACACCGAGTCACTGTAAAGGCGAGATATGCATTCAGTCACCTACAAACAATGTTGAATGAAGTCGAATGCGTGGCGCATCCCTTAGGGATTGTTCAAGGTCGGGAGCTTTATCCTTCAGCTTATTTTTCATATTTCTTCAACCATGTTCGGTTTACAAAAGGAGACGGAATAATATTTGTGTCAAATACTTCTTAACTGAGATATGATATTTAGAAGGAAACTGATCAGTAAAAAAAATATGAGTGGTTTAGGGCAACGATCGTGAGCGGACCACGATACTCAGTTCTTTTGGAAATCTCGTCAGTCATCTTAGAAAACTGATTCTTTTCAGGTGCAGTCTAAAGTTTTCTAGTTTGGAATACTTATTTCCCATCCCCGCAGGAAAAAATGCTGGCAAAAGATGAACGTTTTGATTCCAATTGCATATTTATCCAATCACATTCAAACCACATTTTTTCCATTTGTCGAAATTGGTGAATATCTATATTTTTCTACTAACATTACTTCCTTTTGGGAGCCCTACCGCTCATAATTTAGCAGTTGAGCGGTTGATTTACTGAATGAAATATGAATGATTGGTCAGACAATTGCTGTTTAGCTTGCTTGGCTATGTGTATTTGTCCAGGCGGCTTGCGACGTAGAGTTTGTTTTGCGGAAATGAGTTGAATCATATGATAATTTGTATTACACTCCGTGTATTTTCGAGGTAGATTTATTTCAGATTCTGTATAGGTTTCGTAGATAACATCGTTGCCAAATATGTTGCCACGGTGGTGGGATGGTACGCTGTTAGTCGACCATTCTTTGACAGGAAGAACGCCGTCATGAACACTATGAACAAAAACGAACTTATACAGGTAGATGGACCGCCTTTGGATATGGCTGTCGCAATTCCACAGTTTTTAATAGTAAAAGATCCTAACTTATCCGTCTTAGAAGAAATATCGTTGTGCTGAAGACCTAACAAAGTGTCACTAGCTGTATATCATTTCAATCTCCATTACATGTCACACAGTATATTGATCAACCATATTGATGGTAACCGTAGAATATCAATAAATTCTCTAGATGTTTTTAGTAAGCATATTTATCAAACGAACTAAGAACCTATTAGAGGGTTTTAGTCTACATCGTATCAACAGATAATGCCTGATCCAGGGTCAGTAATTGTTCGGAGAACGGGAGTAGTGCAGTGGTTAGTGATGCAGTCGATTAAGAATTAAAGACGCCAGTGTTAGACCCAACACTCTCCTACAATCCACGTGGAAACGTCTTGGTTCGGCTGTCTTTAAGATTGTAACGAGAATCGACACGACGAGCACTCTACGACATTCGTAAAAAAGACGAAATCCTTATACAGCGGCCCAAACAACACGTGGTGCCCGAAGACCACTGTGGACGATGAATGCGAGAAGAAAGGAATAAAGTGCAAGAAGTGCTAGAATCAGCACATTAGATGTGATGACGAGTTATGCAAAGATGTAAAGAAGAATTTTTCAAAAGAATCATATACCGATCGAAGCTCGTGCTTAAAAGGCTATCAACTCTTCCAACTTCTCTATTTTCTCCGTCCTTAAGAGACAATTCTTCTGACGCTTCATGAGCTGCGTTTATCGAGTGCGATCCTTCTTCCTATCAGTCTCTCCGAAGTCATATATGATTCTACAATTCTGTTCTTCATCTTACATCGATATTCTCTAAACTTCAGTGGAAGCTACCGATGCATATTCCAGCGTTGTATTTATACAATATCGTCTAGTTTTTCCAGATTTTTGCGACATGAAATAGTTTCAGACTTTCATCGGTTTATCAGGCTCTATGTAGCACTCCTTTCTAACGTAATCTGGCTTTATCATGAACACAGGAGGGTGCACACGGGTAAACTATCTTGTCCTTAGAGGACACGTGAGAACAATGTGATAGGGAAAAAACACGAAACAGGAATTAACTTTTTGAAAGCATCAAATGCAGCTTCATGGAAATTTTTCCGATCTAATTTTAAATGAAAGATTAATTCTAGTAGTTAATTGAAGAAACAGGAGTGGTCTGAGATTAGTGGTTTTCACGGTGCCGTGGTATTTCAGGTATTAGTAAGTACAGTGCGCGTTTGTTCAGGAATATTACAGCTCCGGTCGAATGATGTTTAAACTCGCTGAAGCACTTGGCCGTTTAGCTCTGGCAGGAAGAGAAATGACGAGATTGTCTGGATTTACGACAAGAGTGGATTCACTTCTTAACGTTCTGAATGACATAGATAGCGGTGAGGCGATGGGTATTATTTATTGAAAACATCCATTTGAGGACCAAGAAAATAGATTCTTTATCATCTTTCTTATTCATCCTGTCTCACAACAGTTTGAGCCTTTATTTGCGGAAGTCAATTTTTTAATCAATAAATTTCTGCATGATGGTTTTTAAATTTTCAAATTCAAAAGTTATAACGAAAACAAAATTTCGAAAAAAAAATCAAAAAAAATCTTTCAGGCTTTTCTCGAAGTGTACTAAATGAATATTACTTACTTACTTGATACTTGAACTGCCCGTCTTCAATGGCTGTGCGGGCCCCAGCATAATCACCATTTTTCGGAGATTTGCTGGTTAAGCCATCGTAATTCTCTGGAATCCCGAGGTCAGCCTGGCCAAAGTCTGCCCCAGATCGTCACCACGGCAGGCAGTCGCAGCCCTTGTGGATCAGAGGGAGATTTGCCATCACCATGCGACTTTGATACCAAGACGGTGGTGGATCCTGGTATTGGTTCACCCTTAGCTAGGCTTCCTTATGGAAACGTCGGACTCCTTCTCAGCTTGGGAGACCCTGCGAGGGCGATGAATCCCCTGCTGTACATCGTAGCCCGACACCCAGGAACACCTCCCAGCCACGATGAGGCGGTAAACCGTTGGGAGGAATGAATAATAGACACGGAAAAATGGCCGTTGTATATCCAACTATACCATTAGACCATTTATGAACTGTTCAATGATTCCAGTTGTGATCAACAAGGTCTGAATTTGTTTCTTTTGCGTGCGAGAACTGCGTAGTAGACTCTGCCGTCTTGAAGAACTCGAAAAGCATCATGTGATATTTTTCATCCAGCGTGTTCGTGAAGAACCTCACCATCCAGTCGGTGCATCTTACAATTGTGCGCATTACATCTGGTTTAACTCATTCGCTTACGACACTTGCCCAATGATTTCACTACTTGTGGGTAAGATGCATAATGTTTCCGGCCCACCTAATTTTCAATATTTACGCATATCAACATTCTCGATGACTGTTTGTCGACGTTGATCTAAGGTTCGGATTTCGACAACGGTGAATAATTTTTCATCATATAGGCTCTAAGTTTCATAGACGTTAGGTGAACGAAGAAAGAATAGTATAACTGAATAATTGAGCAAGGACTCAGGTGTTCTTTCATTTTTCTCACTGCGCTCTTGATGTTATTATTTATTACATGTTTTTGAAGCTATTCGATTTTTCCTGATTAGTTCTGGAGTTAAATCGTTCATTATGTGAGTTTCTCAACACTCGCGCGCATAGCTAGATTGTTCCGGGATGTTCATTTTGGTGAGTGTAAATGGGCGGGCTATCAGAAACATCTCTCATGAAGACGTTACAGTGCATCCTGTAGCGGTTGGCACTTCGCTTGTTGGCACTTAGAGTAGCAACCAAAATCTTTAAAATCTACTTTCATTAAACCTCGGCAACAGTAATCAATAATCTTTTAAATGATTGAGCTAATACGAGGTTGGTATAAGTTTTTGTTCCGTTGTCTCGGCGCCTTTGCCTTCGACCAGCGTTGATCCGAGATGATGGCCCACATCTGGTCGCTTTCACGATATGAATTTTCGGATATTGTTTCCGTCTCAAATGAATTAAAGTCAGTTTTCTATCGCTTTCTGCTCTCATGCTACTTTAACCAGTTTCCTTTTCATGCGAATGTGCTTCAACCTAGCAGCCTTGTCTCGAAACAATTCCTTGCAGAGAAAAAAGAAATTACGCGCGTTGGGGCAGAGAATATCTGAAAGTCAGTTGCTTTGAAAGGATTATGAAAATAGCTCCTCATGTCAGTGCGTCTAGTGCAGCGGTTAGAGGTGTTCTGAAAGACACAGTGGTTGTTTGTTCGATCCCGAACCCCATATTTACTAAGTTTCCCAACAATCCAGGGGCGGCAAGTTGATATCAGACTTTTCTGGGAGAGTAGCACCACTACTTTACTATATTATTAAGCCATCGGAATTCATTTTATAGATCAAATATGTACTGAACTGAGTACAAGGATGCTTAATCAAGTGGAATGCATGGCGCATCCTTCCATGTTTGATACTGACATACTTGGTAAATCAATCTCGATTTTGTATTCTCACTTAGCAGGTAACGACTTCGTTGCAGAAAGGTGAAATTCTAGTTGTGAAGTTGTTACACAGCTCATGGGAGATGCTGGTGTACTGAGGAGCAACAACGTTGCTATCTAAAGTTTCCGTGACCGCCTCAACACAAAAGCCTTTTTTTAGTCGAGTGAGCCGATTACAGAGAGATGAACTTGTCTCTTGTGTTCGCGCAACATTTTGTTTAGTTTACGAAATTTTTTCCAAATTCTCTTGGTTTTTATAAACCATCTTCAGTACTCGGGTAGTTCTTAGGGCTGTCATTCGTCTTGCAATTTAGCGATTTCACTGATGGTTATTCGAGTAAAATTGTGGATACACAGAGCACGGAGTTTGGGCGAAAGCTGTTGAAATCGAAGGTTTCTGCTTTTATGGTGGAGACCGGTCACACTTATTTTCCACTGATTTAAAGCCATGCATCGGTGCAGGTAAAGTTTGAAAAACTGAACCAGTGTGGTGGTTGCTCTAGGTTCCATAACCTACAAATCGGAGTTCGAAAGAAAGGACCGTTAGAATGACATGTTCATCTTCACATATTATGGTTACGTCTGCGAATACGTCTCAACTTGTGTTATCTGTGGCTATAGTAAGAATTTTGGGCGATTTTAAGTTGTATAGTAATACATGTTAAGTTGTATGGTTCTACATTTTTCAGTTTTAGTTTCAAACAATTTCAAAATGAAAATCTTTCATTTGCAACTCATTTATAGTACTTTTTATTTTTATTTTTATTTATGTTTATTTTATTTACAGTACTTATAGTATATAGGGCGGATTGCACAGTGGTAGTGATGTACGTCTTCACGGGCGTTGTGCTAGTTGATTCAGTTCCGGGTCAGCCAAGCCTCTCATCCCTCCGAGGTCGGGAAATTGGTACCGGACTTCTCTGGGAAAGAATCACTTTCTGCAATCCAATTGGGAACGCTCCAGTCCAGTTATCGCAGGACTCCAGGGAGAATTGCTCGACCAGAATTCAACGACATTAATGATGAAATGAAAATCGTCAAGTAGCAACCGAAGCCACACGTAAAAGTTGGAAGACCTTCGTGGACGATGGATGCTGGGAAACGAATTGGATGTGAGAAGTGCTGGGATCCGCACAGCAGACGTGAAGACGGATTAAATAAAACAAAATAAATTAAACTTATAATATAGAGGTCTTTTAGGTATCTATGAACGGTCCATGGTTACCTCTAAAGACAACGGAAGTAGTAGTGTTCTGCGGAAAGGCCTCACTCCAGGTGCAGGTTAGAGTTTTCCTTCATATAGTTTTACAAACATTTTGAGAATCGTATATCAATCTAGATCAATAGAACTAGCCGAGAGACAGGCAAAACGAAGGACCCGGATGGTGTGGTGGTGAAGTGCGCTACTCCCCGGAAAGGACAATAGAGCGCGTTCGCTCCCCACCGCATACACCTGTGGCCCGGAGTTTTGCAAATATCTCAGCATTATGTACGAGTTATATTTCGCAATATACCCTGCCATTAAAAAGAAAAAAGCAGTAAATAAAAGGGTTAACATTTTGAGAATATTTGCAGGCGAACTGGTTATACAAGACAATGTTATTCGATTCGAAAAGGTGCCTATCGTTACTCCGAATGGCGACTTTCTCATTGAGAGTCTTGATCTAGAGGTTCGTTTAGGCAATAGTTTCACTATTCCCAAGACCGACTTTCTGTTAACCTAAGTCAAGCAGTAAGAAAATAGTGGTTCATTACCTCTCCTCTCATCCCTCACACACTAAAAGGGCGCTTATAAGAAATATGTTTCGAACCACTGCCAGCGTGTGCGCAGGTAGAGATCAGAGGGAAGAATCCTTGAAACTAGCGCGCCAAATAGCCATTTCAAATGGTTACGAAACTGTAGCTTCTCGGCATAGACATGGAGGAAAACCCACGCCCCAGAGCGATAGTTCTAGCGAAAACAAGGCTCCGTTCCTCTTGACTTTCATTTCAAAGGAAATAAGTGCAGCTATAAAACCTTGCTTAATAAGGACCGGTTTAGAGAATTCTGTAAGACCATTGGACACTCCAAGACGCCAGCTGGTTCGCAACCGCCAATTTGACCGTCTATGTATAACGAAAAACTGCATAATTTGCCCTAACGGTAGAAACGGTGATTGCATGAGTTCGGGTACAGTCTATCTGATCTCCTGTAAAGCGTGCGGGGACGAATACGTTGGCGAAACGGGTATACCGGTCTGAGTCCGCATAAAAGAACATCTAGTCGGTAAATTTAAATTAAAACCAAACGCTCCACTAGGCGCGCATAAGATGCAGGAGCACAACGGAGAGGATTTTGAAGTAGGAGTCACTGTCCTCACGCAGGAATCCAAAAGATCAGCGCGTAAAACTCTTGAAGCGCTTTGGATCAATTCCAAGAATTCAAAGATGAACCGCAGGGAGGAGTGTCTTGTCATTACGCGTGACTTGGCGCCATACTTCAGGCTAATCAAATGACCTGACACAGACACAGTTATCGCCTATGTATTACTCTATGCGGCTGCTATCCACCTACTAACGTAAATGCTTACAAAAAGTAAACGGTAGGTGGTTAAGTGAAGCTGTTTCTTATGCGAATACAAATTTATTTGTTAAGTTTTATCTGCTGAGGTTATGAAAGTGTTTGGTTGGGTAGATCGCATCTCAATTTGACCTTTCCAGGCTCTGAAGAAGGCGAAACCGCCGAAACGTCAGCTATTATATCCTAATAAATTCTATAATAACAACCTCGTGTCTGCTTATTGAAGAAAGACATCGAGCTTTCACTATTATTTATAAGTAGGAAGTTATCTGTTAAAAAATATGGCCAATTTTACGAATGGAATGGAATGGAAACAATTTTACGAATACGAATTCAAATTGTTTTTGTGTTCCTTCAGGATTGATTTATTTCTAAATGCTTCCCGTTCCAATATCCAACGTGTTTTCTTCTGTAGTCACAGACCAATCGGCCTAAAGTAATGAAACCTGGTTATCTGAGGTTTATCGCATCAAGCAAATGGAAAATCAGGAAGACCGTGTTGTTGTAAAAGAGAAACCCCATGGGAATCTTTAGTTTACACGTATCTGTACAATAGAAGATAAGAGAATGGTACTGTGTGGAGCTACAAGCAAGTGTGGCCTATTAGGAGCAACAGCACCTATACTAGAGCCGTGAATGATTACGATGCCACAGAAATCAAGCTTGCCACAAAGAGCCCACCAACTCGGTAATCACACTTCACAAAGGCTCTGAGTGAGAGATATGATCGCTTCGTGTTCCCGGAGGAAACAAAACTACTGGAAAAATCGGGCACTCTACATACACTTGATGCGAGAACGTATTCATCGAGAGGGATCTAGGGAACCTGGTGCTCTTTATATATTTTCAATTTCTCACTGAACTGCTCTGGTATCCTAAACGACGGATGATTATTGGTGATTCACGATATAGTAACTCAATAATTAACGCGGTAGCACAGACGTGGTGCATTTTTCAATTTTCAATCATTTCAAGTTAGGAAAAGAATAGTTGTACGTTCTAGGTACCTTCGGGAAGAAATGTACTGGTATGTGGCCCAAATGGTTGTGGAAAAAGTTCTTTGTTTCGAATACTCGGCGAACTATGGCCTTTATTCGGTGGTCGGCTCACTAAACCGGCTAAAGGGAAACTTTTCTATGTCCCTCAGGTAATATTTAATGGGATTTCTGTTCGAAAATAATCATCATGATTTATCCAGAGATTTTATTTTCCAACTAACCACAAGGTAATAAATCATATAAAGCTGTTTTCTCTTTCCTTGTTCTTCGGTTTTAGTAACACAACGCCAGTTGTTGTCAAATTGTTGTGGTGTAAAAGATTTTTTTTCACAAAAGTTAGCGACTGCAATATAGTGTGGCAACTGGAAGGCTCCACATAGTATAAAATCGTCTAACACTTTCTCCAATTAACAGCTTCTCCGATTATTAATCACAGAAGAGGGCAAAAAGATTTACTCGGACAGTGTCTCAACGTTTTTGTCTTCTTTAGAGCCGGTTTGATCCGATTCATTGATCCACAGATTATCTTTTTCACGAGGTGGCATTATCGCATCGAGTCGAATCCAGTGAAGTGGAGCAGCAGAATTTTTTCTCTTTCTTTTTTCCTGGAGCAAAAAAAATTCTCCAAAATTATTTGACTCAACTACACTTAGTTGTTAGAGCCATTATTTTCTATAGAAACAAGAAACTGCTAAACATAATATTAATATTGGTGGTTGACCCAGTTCCTGCTCCTTGGACGCCCGATGCAGCTGAACAGCTCAATAGGTCGTCCCGCCTGCAGCTATCATCTTTTGTGAACTACAAGGACATTCTTTGCCTTATCTTCATTTGTTTCCAAGACGGCAGTGGTTCTTGGCATTGGTTTGCTTTTAGCTGTATGAAGATATGAAACTCCTTTAAAGCATAGCAAGCCTGACTCTGGCGATAAACTCTATACATTGCAGTCCGACGCCCAAAAGCATACTCCAGTCAAAATGAGGCAATGAAATATTGGACAGAAGAGGACAAATCGATCACGAACTATTTACGGGTCGGTCATATAAGGCAACAAATAGAGGAGAAGAAATATGAACTCCATGAGAATGAATAAGTTTTCTGGGAGGTCCACCCACAAGATGAACAGATTTGTTTGCGACTCTTATCAGTTCTTACCAAGCCTCATGCGAAGCAGGTCTTCTGCTGGTCAACGCTGGTCTGTAGCACCCATGGATTAAAGTACATACTTTACAATACTATCCTAATACACAATCTGCTATGAACTTCCATTCGTCGTCGATCTATAGAACACTCTATTTTTGTGGCTTGGGCTACAGGTGGCCAATAGGTAGCTCCGTATTCGTGCAAGATAGATTATATTTCTAGATAAATTTGTCCGGCTTGAGCTCTTTAGATCATTCCAGTTGGTGTGTGACTGCTGATGGTACCGTTAAGGTAAAAAAACTGGCTGAGAGAAAGGCAAAACGAGGGCCTTAGTGGTGCAGTGGGTAGCACGTGATTCACCGGAAGGGTAGTCGGATTCCGAATCTGGCTCGGGATCTGCGTTTTGCAAATATCTCAGCATCATTATGGTTGTATTTCTTTTAATACCCTCCCATGAAGAAGTAATAGACGTAGTGATACTGAGGTAGTAGCAAAACTCTGGACTGCAGATTTCTGCGGTGGAGAACGAACGCTCTATTACCATTTCCGTGGACTAACGCTTTCACCACCACACTATGCGGGTCCCTCGTTTCGCCTGTCTCTCAGGTACTTTTTCTGTCTACCAGTATCAGTAATAAATAGACAGTAAATGAAAAGTTATAGTTCTGGATAGTCAGTTGGACTATTCTGTAGAAGAAAACGTCTTTGTTTGTTGGTGATAACTGGAAATCACCACTCAACTAGATACTTTCCAGTATTAACCGTGGGCTTCCGGTCGAATCGAAAGATGGGACATATCTCGCTTGTGCACAAGCACACCGCCGCACGTATCCATAAATGTGACTGTGTCTGCTGAAGACGTACAAGATAGGGAAAGGAAACCTGTCTTTTAAATCAAGCTCTGCATTTTGAAATCATGAATATCAGGGCAAATATTTTGCTGCTTTTACTCAGTGTTTGATTATCGTACAACTGATAAAGCGCCACCTGTGCTCGCGGTCAATCCGCTGTAGATAAATCTTATGATTGGAATACATATTTCAGTATTGTGCGCTTACATACCTATTTTTTCAGCGCCCGTACATGACACTGGGAACTCTTCGTGATCAAGTAATTTATCCGGATAGACAACTTGATATGGTTAGAAAGGGATATACGGATCGAGATCTTGAAGAACTACTAAAAAATGTAAGAACAGACCTTGAAAGGAAAAGAAGAAATCGATGAAGAATGTGTCATTTTTTACAACTAATGAAGTGAAGGACTCAGAACTTACAAATTTACAGTAATCCTGAGGTTCAATGAATTGGCCCGTGGTCCATGTGATATAGTTACATAGATTTAGAGGTCGTATTGATGTCATGAATAACAAAGAAGCGATTGACCAGAAAAAACGGAGAAAATGGTGAACATTCTGTTTTAGGTGCAACTATCAAATGTCCTAACTCGGGAGGGCGGTTGGAATGCGATTCAAGATTGGATGGACGTGTTGTCTGGTGGTGAGAAACAGAGAATAGCGGTGCGTAGTATGATTTGTGTGGTAACTACATCTCCAGCCTATTAGAGGCTGGCGAAGTTACTAAGCTAATTTTTCTTACAAGCTCACTAGTGGGATGAAGCACGTCGTATTAATATTACGAGAACGAGAATAGGTGTTAATTTGTTTCAGATGGCCCGTCTTTTCTATCACAAACCACAGTTTGCGATTCTTGACGAGTGTACTTCGGCTGTTAGCGTTGACGTTGAAGGTTAGTCGAGCACAAAAAGATTTTAGATTACAAAGATTACAGATCTTTGATTACAAAAAAAAAATTAAAAGATTACAAGTTAGGCATTGTTACTAGAGGTTGAGGATGTGTCGACTAAGTTACATTAGTGACAGTGTGCGTCGTTACGAAGTCATGAGATTTCTAGCGAAATCGCTAGCAACAGAGAGCATTGTGTAGCACACTAGCTAATATACCTTATGATGATAAAGTAAACTGGCTTCTCCTGTGCAGTTAAATTACTCTTCGCCAAGGTTTATGTTTCCAGCTGAAAGGTCTCCTAGTAAGAAAACGCAGTCCAAAATAGGATATATTATAAAATCGCCACGGTTAGAACGGGCTCTCACAATACCGTCCATTTCTTCTTGTTGCCTACCAGAGCTGCCTCGTGGATTGTGCTTTTTCGAGTGACACGTTAGGCACCGTATTTGTTTTTCACAGTCTTTGTAAAGAAGTCATACCGCTTGTTCAGTGAAGCTTCCGAGTGAAATCTCGTGCTACATTGTGTTTACACTCTTGTCCATCAGTTGCCAGTAATACATGGTGCACGATGCTCAAATTCGCGCAGCTACTGCGCTTGAGGCCTAATTTTATGTTAGTTAAAACTTGCTAGTTTTCAGACAACAGACGATAGTTTTTTTTTGATAACTGGAGGTTTTGAAGGGTTAAGAGGATTGTTAAGGGCGCGTGTGGCGCAGTGGTCGGACGGGCCCAGCAACACACGTGAAATCGATCCTAGCGCCCATGGCCCGCCAAGCGTTCCTTTCCTCCGATGTCTGCAAATTGGCACCAGACTTGTCTGGAGGATAGCAGCATTGGCTTGATACATCAGTAGGCCACCGCCAGTCATTGTAAAGGCCAGATATGCGTTCAATCACCTCCAAACGATGATTAATGAGGTTGAATGCATGACGCCTCCTCAGAAATTGATCAACGCCGAGAGCTTTATCCTTTTTTTAAGAGTATCGTTATGAAGACTTATTTTTAGTATTCTAGAGATCTGCATGGAATGTATGCCACTACTTTCTGCATTATATTTTGATCCAATAGCATTGGTCTTTGAATCCTTCTTTTCGGTTTTTAATAGCAGCTTTTGATATGCCTCTTTCGATAGTTTTATAGTCGTCTATTTCATACTGTAACAACGATTTATCATAGCGACTCGAATTAGATAACAGTCAAAATTTTCTCACTGCAGTAACCTCAAAGAACTTTTTCTAAATTATTAAGTGTGAAGAAAAGGTTTTGATGAGCCACACCTGACATAGCATCTTTGATAAAGAAGCTCTTAACTGAGCATTAAATGTGCACTGAGAAAGCTCTGTACACTAAACTAATTCGCTTAAAAAGAAATTCAGCTGTGTGCAATGCACTTCGTCCATTTTGCTCCTACCGTGATTTGCACGCAGTTCATTTCAAGCGTGTTATGTGTTGAGACAACTTATTTCCGACTCACCTTATTTTCGAGAAATTGACCTATCAACGCCCTTGGGAGGACAACCGATTAGGCAGGATCTGGAGCTGTACTAACCGCTGAAGTTTACCTATGATGTTACTAGCCGTTATACATGTATACGATATGTATATACATACATATATGTATAAATATAATGTTGCAGGAGCGATGTACAAAACTTGTCGAGAAATGGGAATTACGCTGTTCACGGTGTCACATCGGAAATCGCTCTGGGTTCACCATGAATACTTCCTACACATGGATGGTCGTGGGTCCTATCAGTTCGAAAAAATCGGTGACAACACTACAGTGTTTGGGTCTTAATTAGAATGTCATACAACCAGATAATGCATCTTTAATCCCTTCAAAGTAACTGAACTAGTCCTTTTGATTCCTCTGCTTGTACTGAACGCGATTGATGTTAGCAAACTTGCTTTACCAAGTCGGAATCAATAAATTGATATATTTTCTTCAGTTTCATAAATGGTACTACTACAGTTATGTCTTAAAATCACCTGTGATTTTCTGTTTTTTCGCTGTGTATGGACTTCAATTGTTTGATCTACATATCTTTCATCTACAGCTCCACCTCCTTCTTAGGTCAAGCAGCTTTCATAATGTTGAAAAGTTTCACAGTCGATCACAGTGTATTTTCTATTGTTTTGGTAATGAAAATAAGAATTCATGACCGCACATCACCAGATGAGGTAAAAAATCAAAATTTAATAAAAGGAAATTGAATGTGGCTAGGACTATAAAAAGTATAAAATGATTACCATAAGCACTGCTTTGTGTCTTGGAATAGTCCAGTTGTGATAGCTGTCTTAAATATACACAAAAAATATGCTGACATTCATTTCAGATCGTATGACTAAAGGAAATGTCATGTTAGCATTGTATTCACGACAGTTTCAGCCATGCTTCATTGGATTGACTTGAGCGGCGCAGACCAGCCTTCATTTGCCCTTTTTACGTGCAAAAGCAGCCCAACAGATTCTGCTTGCATTAGCAACTCGCTGATTATCATATATTTCCACTAGGATCTTCATGAAAAGCTCTGACGCCTTCGCATTGCTTGAATGGCAATTAGATTTCGGACTCGTAAGGTAGGAAGAATCATGGAATTGAAAAGTGGGGCATGGAGTCAGGTGTTCGTTTTCTGTTCGCTTTACTGCATTCTTGATGTTTCAGAAATCTTAAATCGCTCGCTTAGTTCTGCTGAAATCTTGAGCCAAGTTGTTCATCGTTTTGAGATATATATATATGGAGCATTCGCAATATCTATTATGTAGTACGTGAATGAAGCATAGAAGATCAATCCTTTCTTCATGAACATCGTTTTATGAGTTTTAGTCGAATATGGAAGGCTAAGACAGTGTGTTGATGAGTACTAGTGGAAGGTTGTTCAGGCGTTCAGGTCTCACCACTCTGCAACCAAGTGTCTTTGAATTTTTTAGTGGGATAACAGTACGTTCGGATTTTGGTGAGAAAGTTTGTGACATGACGTATGTATCCTCCTTAATTTCAGATTATGAGGTTAGGAGTGCTATTGAAAAGAGTCGAGTAGTATTAGTGAACGATTTCCTCCAATCCCACTTCGAAAGCTGTAACTAGTCTACACGGATGTAGGAGTATGACCATTTTAGTCTTCTAACTAGTAAAGTGGATCTCCAGCTACTATTGCTGCTACTCTCTCACTTTGAGGTCTCCTTTCATCTTCATTCTGCAGATTTTGGCCACTTTGGATGGGATGACGACTGTCTGCTGCTCCGCGTTGCCGTATCAGCTCAAATGTTCCTAGAGAAAATGCATCTTTTAGTGGTTTTTGGATTCACGGCTTCCATAGGGCTAACATGATTTGGGTAGGGTGCTTGAATTCTTGATTAATTCATTCACTGCTTCTTTGCTGTTAACAACGGCATTTTCTCGAAAACTAGCTATTGATCTAAGCAGATCCCAATTTCCGGCTTTCTGTTCTTAGCGCAAAAATGAATGCTGCGCGGAGGGTACTATCACCGCATGAACGTTTGGCACAATTGTGACACCGGTTAGAGAAAGCGGTCGACATACTGTAACGTGGTATACTTCCATTATAGTATTTCCCACTGAATGAGTCCCGCTTCTCTCGTGATGCTTCGGATATTGTGATTTACCAAAGATGGTCTTCAGCTGCTTCTCTTTAGTCGTTTTGTACCCGATTTTGTGGTATAGGGGCTCTTCTGGGGTCACGTAACACATCTGGAGTGATCGACAGTACTTCAGATAGACAATCGATTACCCACATAAACATATGACATATACTGCAGACTCGGTTTCGAAATATTACTACGCTTTGTGCTAGCTGATAAAACACCGACTTCTGCACGATGTCCGCAATGATGCATGTCCGGAAGAAATACAGGTTGTTACAACCGGACATTATCATTATATATCCACCATCAGCATCGTGTATAAAAGTGCATCACTGAGTGAGGATGCCTCATTCGAGAAGATGGATCACTGAGGAAGACCTGGCTCGACACGAAGGCGAAGCTGCAACGTCGAGACGAACAACAATCACGGACCATCGACTCGGATCATCGGCTCTGAGGAAGACGAAGACGTCGAAACGTTAGCCGAAAATAAATATATTTATCAACCTCGTGCAAGCTTATCAAGAAAGAATGCATATTGATTAGTCACACCGAGGTTCAAGGAAAGTCGGTTTCGAAATATATTGCAGACAGTTCGTTTTGCGTGCAAGAACCCATCGAACGCGACGGAAGATGATAACGAAATATGAAGAATTACGTTATACCTTTTTATTTTCTGCCTACTATAATTTCGTGGCAGGGTACTAAGCGAAATACAACCACAACGTTGCTGAGATATTTGCAAAACTCTGGACCGCAGGTGTCTATGGTGGGGAACGAACGCGCTATTGTCCTTTCCGGGGAGTAACGCGTTCACCACCACACCATGCGGGTCCTTTGTTTCGCCTGTCTCTCAGCTATTTCTATTGATCTTTGCCACAGCAATCACCCAGCAAATGAAGAATAACGTTTAAAAAATGAATTGACAAGGAGTGCACGTAAAAAATGCAAATGTGAATGTGCACGTTTAAAGAGTCCATCTAAACAATTTCTTCATTTACATTACACTTAATCCAAAAATCAATGAAGCTCGCTTGAGCAAGCAAAGTGTTTCTTCTCAGAATTGCTTTCCTAGAAACGAGAAGTCACGAAAAAGATTTCAAAATGAAGTGTACCTTCTCAATCGCAAAATATTCTCGGATCAATGCTCCTGAGAAAGTGAGCGAAGATCACTATAAATTATTAGAGAACACATGAAGAAAAGAAGTCTGACCACAGACAGCTTAGATGAACAAAGTTGAGAAAATGAAAAGCGCAAGGAAAAAAAAAGAGGAAAGGTGGTCAAAAAGTTTGTTAAAAAGAAGAAGTGATAGGATTGCCTGTGTTGAAGAAAAAGTCAAAAAGCCTCTGCTGCCCATTCCTACAGTCAAAAATCGAATGCAATGAGACGTCGGATAATAGGGAGATGTCATCCGTCTTATGTTTAGAGAACCAAAGCAATGAATGCACCATTTCCAGAATGAAAAGTAGAGCACACAGTAACCTCGAAGAGTGATTTTCAACTAACCTCTTGTTTTGTCACTAAGTTCATGTGCTGTCGATAAACAGATACCAGTACTGAAACATTGTACTACTCAACTAAGTATTTTCACAACCCTAACAAAAAAAGTGCAAAACCTAAATTTCAATTGCATGACAAACTTCTTCAGAAGACACCACATTTTTCTTTTTATTTTTCATTGAGCAAAGGAGAACAAGGGTTTACCGCCTATGGCTTGGAGGTGTTACTGAGTGTCAGGCTGCGATTTACAGTGGGAGAATTCCTCCCACAGCAAGGTCTCCCAAGCTTACGAGCCCGATGTTTCCATCCGGAAGCCCAGCTAAGAGAAAGCCAATACCAGGACTCACCGAGGTTCTGGTATCTAACTAGGTTAATGGTGGCAAATCTCCTTTTGATCCACAAGAGGGGCCACTACCTGGGGTAGTAACAACTTGGGGTAGACTTTGTCTAGGATGACTTTGGGATTCCAGAGAACCACAATAGTTGAACCAGCAAAACTCCGAAAAAATGGAAATTATGCTAGACCCGCACAACCAATGAACACGGGCCATCCAAACATCCAAGTAAGTAAGTAGGGAAGACAAGCCCAAATTTATTCATATGGGGCCAGTAATATGTCTACGTCAGTGTACTACTGCTACTACAAACGATGTACAGAAAACATAGAAAACAAATACTAGTCTTAAGGGATAGAAAACATTTTATACCGAGTAAAGAACGATATCTATAGAAATCTCCATACTACAGATTCACCACGATTTTATCACGAAATGGAAAATGTCAGTGGATTGTGAAAATTCTTTGTGCATATCACTGGCCTTTCATCACTACTGGCCTATTTGTGGTGAAATAAGGCTTACAAAAATCTTTGGTTCCTCATGAACTCACATCAGTAACTCAAAGTATTTCTTTCCGTTCCATCGCAAACGCCGTCAACACGGCGAGTTTCTCTAACTTATCCTTCCGCTACGAACCACTGGAAGGTACTGAAACGACCGCCGCCGGTTAATGGACTGGTTTATCACGTCCCGCTAAGGTCAATATAAACAAGCGTGTATAATTGTACGGAATCCACCTCCTAATGTATAACACTTCATAATACATGAACAGCAGTTTAGTGATCAAACTAATGACGGCTATCACATAGAATGGGTATGAACAAAATACAATATAGAGTTAACATATTTTGTGGTACTAATTACGATAATATCCTGATAGAGAGAAAAGAAGTGCACTGATAATAACTCCAACTATCCTCCTCGAGAGTTAAAATTTTGATTATAACTAAGGCTCAGCTTAACTGAATTCAATGCCAATTTGGGCTCCCCAGATGAATCCCGCTGACGGGTCATTGCTGATGGCAAAAAATCGATAGAACTAGCCGAGAGAGAGGCGAAACGAAGGTCCCAGATCGTGTGGTGGTGAAGTGCGCTACTCCCCGGTAAGGACAACAGCCCGCGTTCGTTCCCCATCGCATACACCTGCGGTCCGGAGTTTTGCAATGTCTCAGGATTATATGCAAGTTATATTTCGCAACATACCCTGCCATTAAAAAGGAAAAGGCAATAAATAAAAGGGTTAAAACGATAAGGCTTCCGGTGTTGATCTATACCTAAAAAGTGCGTCATGCATTCGATTTCATTGATCATCGTTGGAAGTGAATGAATGCATTTCTGGCTTTTACAATGGGCTGTGATGTCCCATATCAATGCATAGAGTCATTGCTGCTATGCTATCCCGTTAGGTAATTCTGGAAAAATTTAACACCTCGGAGCGATAGAAGACTTAGTGGGCCCTGGCAACAGGATCGAAGCAATGAGCACGTAGGTATTACAAGGCCCTCTTACCTCTGCACTGAATGCTGCCATTTACAGCTATGTTTTAAAAAACCACTCGACGTTGATCCTGATGTTAAATTACGCCTCCATCGGTGGTAAAACAAAAGTGGCGTTGTCGTAAACTGGTTGATGGGTATCACATCAACAGGTATAGTCATAGTTATCAAACAATTAAGCTTTTAAAAGATTTGTGATTGATCGTCCACGCCCATGATCGACAGCGGAGTCAACATATAAAGCATAGATATTGACTGCCGGCGGAAATGAAACGGTATCCATAGCTGATATTGTTTATGCTGTGACAATCAAGCATTGCTTAAACTGATAACGTTAATCAATGCTTAGTTTAATGAGTAAGGTTTGATTCATTTAGACAATACACTCGTCTCACATGGTAGGAAGTCAGAATCTCAGCAGTGTAAGGAATTTAATGAAAGAAAAAGATTAGGACCATTGTTCGTGATTTTAATAAAGGACTTTAGCGTCCGCTTTCATGCGAATACTATGAGAATATAGCAAGACTCATCGATAAAACTGTAATAAACGCCGATCAACTACTTGGAATATTACAAACAAAGGGTCGGGAAACTAAATCACCTGGACCTCGCAGCAGTCTGACCACTGCATCAAAACTGGCCGGTGAGTTCTTGTTGTTGTCGTCAAAGAGTGATGAAAGTGTGAATCTCCGTTTACTATCAGCTTGGCTACCGAAAGATGTTGCTAGTTTTGCGATTCTTGCTTATGCTTCTCTTGCGCATCTTGGTCATTAGTTGATCATCCTCGACTCGTAATTAAGTGGATGGTCACGGCGATTTATTCCGTTTTACTCCAAAGCCATTTGCATACATTTTCTCCAAGGGCATCGCATATGTTTACCCATCCAGAATTTGGCCATGAGGTAACAACTCTCTATACAAATTTGGGTATTGACATTTGCGAAGCGTAGCCACGACCATGATTTCTTTGATTTATCTGGTCCAATAAGGAAGTTTCTAAGGAACATGCTAAAAACAGTGAAGATTAAGCGATCGTCAAAAATTCTTACTGTTCAGAAATCTCAAGGAGTAAGTCAATAGACTCGTTATCCAACTCGTCGTCGTATTCAAGAAGACGTTTTCGCAATTATGTGGACACTCCGTCACGCTTGAAATCACAATACAAGTTAGTGTATGCAGGTGGAATAAGGTACTATGAGACGGCAGTTCGTGCGGCAACGAAAATACCAATGAACGGCTTGCGGTGGATAAGGAAAGCAACCGAAGACATAAATAGGCTTCCATATTCAGAACCACGTAGTGTTATCGTTTCCGTCAAGGCGCGTGTGGCGCAGTGATCGGTGGTGCCCTGCAGCACACACGTGGAATCGATCCTCGCTCCCACGGCCCACCAACCCTTCCATCCCTCCGTGGTCGGCAAATTGATAACAGACTTGTCTAGAAGGATCACAGCACTAGCTCGATACGGTACGCCACCGCGAGTCATTGTAAAGGCCAGATATGCATTCATTCACCTCCAAACGATGCTTAATAAAGTCGATTGCATGGCGCATTCCTGAGAGATTGATTAACGCCGAAAGTTCTATCCTTTATCTTTTATATTGTATCCGTCAATTATGCTCATTTTTAATCAATCGTTTTTGAAGCGCTTTAACTCATCAAATTCCAACATTTTAAGTTGATGGTCAAATGAAAAATACTTATTTGCTTGATACTTCGATAGTTCGATAACCCTTCTTCGCTGAATGTGTAAGCTAAGCAAAATTTCTATTCGTTTCTCTACCACGCTGTCGTCGTGCATGGTGGTGGTATGTTCGAAGTGGTGACGTTCCCGAGGCCCATTCTATAATCCTGAAACGGTTGCCATTTGCGTGTCCAGATGGTTGAGGTTAACCACCAAAATGGCCAGCCATGGTTTCGGTGGATTCCCAACAGGGCACTTGCATTCTATTAAAGTCCCACTATCCTCTTGGTTCATCTGTCCTCTATTGCTCTAATTATGCTGCCGGCTCATCTGCGTTTCGCCATCGTTGTATATCCCCTTATATTTCGAGGATGAGAGAGACTTCGAATATCTGTGCTGCGCATTCCACCTATACGTTCTGAGTGCTAATTAAATTTTAGAAGAGATCGTTCAAGCGCTTTGTGAATGGCACGCGCATACTTTCACATGGAATAGGCATCAGCTTCGCTGCATAGCAGAACGCTGTGATGTCTGTTGAATCGAAAAGGTTAACGCGGAGTCTTTCGTCCGTTAATTGGTCGGTGGCTTCTTTGGGTAACCCTAATGCGGCCCATGCTACTCTCGTTTTTCTTCCTAATTCTCTTCCATGTTGTATGGACGTTCAGTGAACGTACCAGGTACGCGTATGACGTGGTTTCTGCAATCGGCGAACCGTCTAGTTCGATCAACACCTTCGTACCATAGATTTCCCACATGAACTGGGTCTTCGTCCTGTTTATGGGCAGTCTAATCTTCTTTCCCACTTCGTTGAGTTCGTTGAGCATTATCTCTGCTTTAATGGTATTCTTCAAAAAGATAGCGATGTCATCCATGAAACGAAGATTTGATAGAAATTTTTCATCAGTGCGCACACTGTTCTCCTCCCAATGGAGTGACTTCAATGTCTATTCAGGTAACACTGTAAACAGCTATGGCGATATTGCGCCGTCCTATCAAACCCCTCTCTTGTGGGAATGGTGATGGAAACGCTGCATAGTTGTGCTGCAGTTCCAATAGCAGCCCACTAGTATTCGTGCAGAGAACGGGTCAACTCCATGGTCGACGAGCGCTGGTAGTGTTGCACTCATTTCGAAGCTGTCAAACACATTCTTGTGCTGATAACGATTAGTATAACGAGCAGATGGTGCTCTTGACAGACTTCTGTGATCCGTGATACGATTTGATGTCGTCCGTGTAGCAGAACACCTATTAGAATCTTGCTTGTTTAATTTGTTGTTTCATCTAAGGTCTTGAAAACCCGTAAAAGGACATTCTTCGTTAACAATTTCTAGAGTAAACCCAACAAGCATATTGGACTGTAATTACTAAGATCCCTTCGTTCACCCTTTTTCGTTATGATAAGCGTGAGCAAGGTCGTCCACTGGTCTGGGATTTCCACTTTTTAACGTAAGATATTATGTGGGTTGCGAGAAGTAGATGTAATTTGTGGTCACCGGCTCTGAGGAAATCGGCGGTGATATTGTTGCATCTCGAAGCTGCGTCTCTCTTCATGGTTTCTATCGCAGCTGTCTCTAACATTAGAGGGATCACCAAAGAAAAGTTTAGGGTCCGAAAAGGAGCTATGGAGCGAAAAAGATTGGTATAGAACTTTTCCCTCATCACCTCTACACCATCCTGAGATATGGTGATAGCCCCATCTTGGTTCATTAGGGTGCATAGAGGAACATTGCAGTGGCAAAGATCCCGACGTCATTTCTTCAGACTGGATCATTTTTGAGCTGCTTCCAATAACTTTTTCTGCCTTCACCGGTGGAAATCCTGCTGCAGAGATCTTCAACGGGTGGCATTTATTATGAGCCATCCTATGTGTGTTGCAGTGTGATCAAAATTCAGTGTCCTTTTCTTTTCAAGAAACTCCTTGATGTAACGGAAATGTGGTCTCGACTTCTTGTTTGAGGAACTGACGCGAGCTGAGCACAAATTTTTACTTTTTCTACAAGGAGTTTGCAGTCCTTGCCCGGAGCTTTCTGTATCTTCTTGTCATATGAACAGAAGATTTTGCTGAGAGTGTTGTCGTCATACACGATTTGTTTCGTTTTTGGTGTACCGTTGGTGATTCGTTTGTGACCCGGATGGTGTAGTTGTGAAGTGCGCTGCTCCCCGGTAAGGACAACAGCGCGTGTTCGTTTCCCGCTGCATACACCTGTGGTCCGGAGTTTTGCAAATATCTCAGCATTTCATGCGAGTTATATTCCGCGACATACCCTGCCATTAAGAAGAAAAAAGCAGTTAATAAAAGGGTTAAGATTGTTTCGTTTTTCTTGGACGACGACAGGAGTTCTTTTCCAGCCTATGGCTAAATTGAATCTTAGCACGGAGAAAGAGGTCTTGCACAGAATGTAGGTGTCGAAGATGCGCCGCTTTCTGTTGGTGAGAATACGATCGACCTTCGCATGAAATTCGCCGTTAGGAAACCTCTACGCACAACGGCGATCTCTCTTTTCTCGACAAATCAACTTCTATGAAACAGACGTGTTGTGGACAGAAGTCCTACAAGACGGTTTCCACTTTTTTTCGTTCTTCTCTCCTAAATGTCCTTAACCTGTATTATTTTTCGTCGGCCATTCCTATTCTGGCGTTGAGGTCTCCAGCAACGACTTTATAGAAGGACTTTCCGTTGTGGATTACTTCCTCCAATTGGTTGTAAAACACGTTCAGTTCGCCCACATCGTGTGTACAAGTTCATAACAGTTGAGGATAATGACTTCCTTCTAACGCACAAGCTGGAGACGAAGAATGGCCAAGCGCGGTGAAAGGTTTTCGTACGAGTTCACCAGGCAGGAAAGAGACGGATGTCCGGCGAAGCCAACGGCTCCGACATTCCGCGATAGCGCCTTCCCTGCACAAATGAGAAGGATTCCATCATCTAGCTGGCGTTTGTCGTTCTTCCTGATTTTCTTCTCTTGTAAAGCTATCACATGGAATTTTGGAATTTTATGCGAAGACGGACTCAAGAAGAGCGTGAAGGTCGGTGTCCGAAGAGGCTTTTCAAGTGTTATAGGTGCAGAGCAAGAAGCGATCTCCGTGGCCTGCCGTGAGCGTGCTCGTTTTTTCCGTGCAACCGTAATTTGTCTAATATATACAGTTTTTAACAGCTAGATATATAGAGTTGTTATTAACGTAAATATTGTTAATTGTCCTGATGTATGTGAAGAGTAGTTATATTTCGCAAAATATCCCGCCGTTAAAGAGAAGAGGCAGCAAATTAAAGGTTAAGACATATGAAGATTGTTGTGACATTTTAGTGCATGATAATGTGAAAAGGAGAATAAAGGATAAAAAATAATGAAGCTCTTGGCGCTGATGAATCCCTTTAGGGATGCACCATGCATTCGACTTCATTAAGCACCGTTTGGAGGTGATTGAGTGCATATCCGGCCTTTACAATAACTCGCGGTGGCCTACCGATGTATCGAGCTAGCGCTGCTATCCTCCCATACAAGTCCGGTACCAATTTGCCGACCCCAGAAGGATGGAGGGCTTGGTGGGCCATGGGCGTGGGGATCGATTCCACGTGTATGGTGCAGGGCGCCTCCGACCACTGCGCCACAAGCGGCCTGAAAAGGGGAACAACTGGAATAGTGCATTGTTATGTTGGTATTTTAGAAATCGCACAAAAATTCGTAAATTTGAGCTTGTAACTTTCATTTTCGTTAACAACTAGAGTGAAGTAATAAAGCGATATTACCTTCAGGCTAAATAACGTAAGGATACTTGAGCTTAGACTTGCTTATGGTTGGCGCGCCGTGCGCCTTTTGATTGGTGAAGAAAATATACTGAAACTGTAAATAACCGTGCCAAAAAATATGCACATTTAGATAAACAAGAAAATTGAACAATATTAAAATAAATCATATTACACGTTTGCAATGGCCAAGTTAAAAAACTAAAAACTTAACCTCAATGATATTGAGATATTTGCAAAACACCGGACCGCAGGTGTCTACGGTAAGCAAAGAACGCGCTATTACCCTTTCCGGGGGGTAACGCGTTCACCGCTATACGATGCGAGCCCTTCGTTTCGCCTGTCTCTTAGCTAGCTGAAAACCTATTTTAAGAAGGAAATTTGTGGTAAAACTGCGCGGGTTAAGACGTTTTTTGATTTTTGATGAATAGAAAATTGAAAAAGAATTTGTTGAAGTTACAAGGCAACAAAGTAACAAACGGAATTTGAATTAATCGGAAGTTTCTGTTTGGAATCACCCATTTCTATTGTATTCAATTCAAAAGTTAAAAATGTATGTTAATGAGGTCTATGGAAGTGACAAATTCTAAACTCCATGACTGAGTATTTCAGAAAAGCGGATTCTCTCTACACTTCAGGAACGGGAAGAAGATCCAGGTTCAACATTTTCTGCACTTTAAGCAATTTTATTGCCTACAACTTTTTTGTTGAAGAGCGCGAAAAGTATCACTGGTTTTCTTCAGCTTTTCTAAATTTTGGTTATAGAGGTGTTTGGCCGAATAGATTGCTGTCAACTTGACCTTTCCAAGCTCTGAGGAAGGCGAAATCCGCCGAAACGTCAGCTTGTTCGTGAATAAAGAATAAAGTAACACCTCGTGTTTGCTCAACAAGAATACGAAAAATTTCTAAATTTTGTCCAATATATTAGTAGTCGCACAATCCTATAACAGCCATTCCGCACGGTTCATCTCTTACCGTAAAATTCTGCGTTCACTTTCTTTTTGAAGATGCAGTTCTACGACTTTGTATTCGTATACTGCCATGTTCTCCACCAGAAATTAATCTCCTCACCGAACCAAGCCCACTCAAATCGCGAGAAACAGCGGAGCACACAATGTTTAACTTTTTTCGCTGCCTATTCTTTTTTTCATGGGAGGGTGTTATGTAAAATACAACCACAGCGTTGCTGAGAGCTGAGCACAACCTGGAAGCTCAAATGGTCTCCGAACCAGCGATTATCCTTTTTGACGACTGACGTGCTATACACCGCACCAACCGAGGCCATTGCCTTGCTTCGTTTGCGAGAAATAGGCTTACGAACTTTCATGGCTTTCTTGTTCAGATCGAGCAGTGGTTCACGTCGAACTCCAGCTCCGTCTCGATGTGCTCGGGAAGTCGATGCGTCTCTCATAAAATCCCAACACAAGCCAAATCAGTGAGTTTTTTGTCGTTCCACAAAAAGCTTGCCTATAAACCATCTTTATGAAAAGTAGCAGTTAACAGCTACATACATAAATAAGTCAAACTGTGTGGTTGATACACTTAAACAACATTTTACTTGTGGTGAATCGATAAACGCATTAAAGAATGTTGAAAACAGTGTTTTGTGTCTAAAGTTTCGCGGCTTTTTATGCCTGATTGGCTGTTCGGTAGCCAACATCAACTTTATGGACGAATTCGTTATCAGTGATTTAAAGCTACCAACAGAAGGTTTACTAAGGAAGTGTCAAAGTACGGTGTACTGTCGTCTTTAGATGTCACTATGAATTCTCTGAAATGGATAATAGAATCATTATAACGAATGGTTTTAAATACGCGCTAAATAGAGAATCTTATTTTATCTGATTACCATTTGCAACGGATTCTGCAACGATATACTATATGACTTTTTTTTTTCATTTTTTTGGCATATGGAGATCTAGACTCTGGAACTGCCTCATCCTGAGTACTTAACTTCTGTTGTTCTAGTGTGAAACAAAAGCAGAAAGTAGCAGAGACTACTACAAAGCAGCGTGAAGAGGTGGAGCAAAAGCAGAGATTAGGCAGCAAACAACCATGGTAACTGTACTAAAGCGACCAATTTTACAAACTTAGTACTTATATGTAACCGGATGGTGTAGTGGTGAAGTGCGCTGCACCCCGGTAAGGACAACAGCGCGTGTTCGTTCCCCACTACATACACCTGTGGTCCGGAGTTTTGCAGATATCTCAGCACTTCATACGAGTCATATTTCACAACATACCCTGCCATTAAGAAGAAAAAGGCAGTAAATAAAAGAGTTAAGTTAGTACTTATAGTTGGCAAGAATGGTACAGTTACACCTCTTGTTGTACGTTCGAGGATGTCGAGAACCTAAATTCTACTGGTTTACAATGATTGTTCATCTGTGTCAGTTGCAATTTCGTTAGTTATCAGTGGACTTGAGTGTATACTATTATAGTGAGCCCTTCATTCGTCTCTGTTGTGATCCTCTGGGCTGCTTAGCACATCTCTCCTCCTCAAAATAAGTGATGAGGATCACATTTTTACTATACGACGAGGTCCTTCTCATCTTGAGAGATCCTACTGCGACGAAACTAAGAACTTAGTAGTTCCTTGCCTATGTCTCAGTTAAACAGTAACGAACACCAAGAAGTGTTATAGTGAGTAACTATATCGGAGAATCTTTTTACCTCTGCAAAATTCCGATATCTGGATTGGTGATCGAGTTTTAGAAACAAAACATTATCACGATAGGATTACAGTCTAGCTATGAACTGTGGGATTCATTCTTCATGTGGAAAGTAATCTGATTTTGGCGCATTAGTAATGTAACTAAACATTGTTTTAGCTTTAATTTATTGTCAACTCTCTCGTCATGGCAAGATACGTTATCGGTAAATAGAACCACGAAGGTGCTGTGATATATGCAGAACTCGGGACAGCACGTGGACCTCTAACCTGCGATTACCATTAGCGGGTGCTTCAGTATAATTGGGTTCACTGCCGATTTGTGTTTTGTGGACCATTCCCGTTGACGGATGATTGCTGGTAGCACCGAAAGGGTGGAAACATGGCTGAGAAAAAGGCAAAACAAGCGCCTCGACACAACGGTAATCACGGGTTCGAATCCCACATGGAGTCCTCAGCCTTGCTCATACTTCAGCATCCTTTTAATTATATTTCCTACAGCAGTCTGCCATAAAAAAAACAACAAGCAGCAAATAAAAGGTAAAAGAACGTTGATTTCTAAAACAGCAAAATTTGTACACTCTTTCCAGCATTGACGTCGGTTCTGCAGTGAACGAACCGCCAAGACAATGCTCAAGGTTATTTTTTATTGACATTTGGCACCATTTTCATAGCTCTCAGATAGAAAACACCTAGATGATTTTTAGGTTTGTATTCTTCATAGCATCTTATCATCGGGGTGTATGTAGTGCAGTGGATTGAGCTGTCCTCCAACACACAAGTAGTGTCTGTTTCGATCTCGCCTCTAGCTCACCAAACCCTCCTATCTGAAGTCGGAAATTGTAACCAAGCTTGTCCGGAAGGATAGGAGCACTGACTTGTAACATCAGTAAGCATCGAAAGTCGTTGGGGTCACCAGGCCAGATGTGAGTTAAATCATCTTGAACACTCTCACAACGACGACTAATCTCAACTTTGTTGTGGACTGGGCGACGCCTAATTTTCAGCCTTTATAGAGTTGCTGGTTTTTTAAAAATAAATACTATTTTTTCGATCACTAGAGGACTTTATGAATTGTCAACATAGATGGGTTGTAGAACAGACTTTGCTCTATTGTTCTATGAGTATGAGTGATAGTTATGATCGTATTTACTAAGTGGTGCTGTGGTTCACCAAATAAACATTACTGTCTGCACTTGAAAGTATTTTAAAACTTATGGGTCCCTACTTCAGTATTTTTAGTATCCGGACACAATGCGATGACTATCATTCACTATAGCCATCAGAATTAAAATATTACTCGAGTAGCCCCCGAATTTTATTGTTAATAAGCCCCTTCAGAAAGCTGTTCCTTGTATCTTTCTAGGTGCGGAATCGTGCTTTTGCCAAGGCGCAACGCAATATTTGTGTTCTACAGGGTACAAATTGATAAGAAAGATTGTGGGAGAATGGTCATATGTGTTAAAATAAACCACCGGACGGAATATGGGACCCATCTGTTTGACTATTCACGCAAAACCATTATGACACCTAAATGTGTCACTCGTCGCGAGAGTGTTAACGATTCTTAACGAGATCAAATTCATGGCACATCCCTCAAGGATTGTTCAACGCTCAGTTCTTTACTCCTTATTGTTCTTCCTTTTCGTTGGGGCTTCTATTGTGGGTATCGAAGCCATTCAACAAACGGGATGCAGTTGAGGAACTGGTGTCGGTGGACACAGTGCTACTCTGAAATGCGTG